CAGCTTTCGCCAGCCTGCCTGTGTGTGTCATTCTGTAGGCCTGAGTGCCTACCTCCAAGAGGCCCGTGTGCTGGTCTGAGTGTGTGCCTGTAGCTGCCTGTGTGTGACCCAGGTATGTTGGCTTGTGTCTAGGTACCTGCTGGCATCTGCCTTGCCCGTAACTGAAGAGTAAATCTAATTAATCTTATCAATAAAAACCAGGAGTCGGGTATCAGGGTAATAACCTGAAAGATCAGAGAAGCAGAGGAGCAGCCACGAATGACTTCTTACGGCTCCAGATCCTCTGACCAAAAGGGCCCCAAGATCGTGTCTCCACCCTGCCTTATCACTTCCTGCCTCCACCTCCCAAGTGCTGGCATTAAAAGCTTGAGCCACCACTGCCCAGCTTCTATGACGAACTAGTGGCTAGTTCCACACTCTGATCTCCAGGCAAAAGCTGTATTTGTCAGAACACAAACACAATATCACACAACACAGAACCCTCCTTCTTTTCTGGCATGGGAGCCTAGGCTTCACAGGCTGAAAACCAACTCTGCATCTTCAAGCAAAAGTAGTGAACTGAGTGCAACCAGTAGAAATCACATAAAGATGGTTCTCTCTACACTCACAGACCCATTTCATTTCCTTGAGACGCAAATTCTTTATTGGGAGTCTGAAGTAATAGCGTTGAGATTTTCAAGTCCAACTCAGGCAAACTGAGCAAGTCAGGAAACTTTAGTTAAAATGAATTGTAAAAAAAAAAAAATAGTGTATGTGCAAAATATGAAGCTATATTCCATGTTACATATTTGGGAGGCAGGCTGCTCTTTCTTTTTATCTTTTTTTCCCCCTTTATCTTATCTCTTTCAAGGAAGAAGCACAACAGCTTCCGCCTTCTGTTCTCCAGGAAGACCCGGATTTAGAGGGTAGATTGAAAGTAGGTGAAACATTGTAAGCTCTTGGACTAACGTAATAGAAAGTGTAGCCACGTTCTCAGTCATACCATACTTTCACATGCTTCATTCTGTGGACATTTATCTGGGTGTAGTAGTCACAGCTCCCTGAATTCTAAAAGTCTTTCTTTTCCCTGTTCCTTGGAAGGATAAAGTGATTGCTTTAAAATAAATATGTGGGTAAGGAGAATAAATTAGAACAACCTTTTAAGGGTGTTAGACTCACTGAGGTCACTTCCACTACTCGTAATGAAGACAAATGTCTATAATTATAAGTAAATGCACTGCACGTGTTTGTTTATTTATCCAGTATCTTCTATCTGCAAATATCTTGTCTGTGAGTCTCCTGTCTACTTTATTAAGAAAACATTATATCCAAACCACTAATGTACCCAGATTTTCCCTACTTGAAAAAGACATCTGTTGTAGCCAAATTTATGGTGAGATTCTGGTTTTCATAGTTACCACACAAATGTTTAATATTGATGAATTCGATGGGGTCTGGGGTCTGTATGGACAGTACAGCAGGTGTCCCTGTTGTCAAGATGAACAGCAATCCATTTCTGGCTCACATAAAGATAATTGTGTATCACAGTGACACTATCTTAAAGAAACTAGATGACAGTGTTGGGAAAATTGTAGACATTTATAAAGTTCGAGATGTTGACCTGGGTGTCATGATGTCAAGACAGCTGCAGTTATTTGCTAACACCAAGATATATTTGTAGAGACTGAAAGAATTACAAGATGAAGATAATGAAGGCTCTGATTGGACTTGCCCACCTTGCCATTTCTCTGATAGTAGTCAACATGTCTGGTTCTTAGAACATTGTTATATTTTGGCTAATGTATAAAGCATCAAAAAAATCACACACATACACAAAGATTTTAATAAATACATGGTACAGCACAGGTCTGTAATCCTAGAGACCGAGGAGACCGAGGCAGGAGGATTGTAAGTTCAAGGTATACTTATACACCAGAGTCAATTCAGGGACAGCTTGGACAGCTTAGTGAGACTTTGTCTCAAGATAAAAAGTTAAAAGCAAGGCTGAGAATATTCAGTAGTAGAGATCTTGCCTGGCATGCAGTCGGCTACAGGTTTAATTCTTGATACTGGAGATAAAAGAAAAAGTGTGGTATGCTTGTTTTAAAGTTTATTGTTGGAACCTGACCCTTGCATACAGTTTAAGTGTGTGCCACGTGAGCCACCTTCCATAGGTTAGGCAGAGGAAATGATGTACTCGATTTGTATGTGTTTAGAAACAACAAATACTGGTGAGGAGAAATTAGAATCCAAGCAGAACCAGCAGAAAACAACCAAGACACCTTTTCTAGGTTTGTGATTTATTTAGTCGTTCATTTACTCATTCAATAGATATTTACCAAGGTGATATTATATGCTAAATCTTGTTCTGGACTGCAGAGATGCAACAGAAAAAAAAAAGTGAAGTTTTGGAAGACTTTATTCTACTATGGGGTGAAAAGGTAGAGAGATTAAGCGGCTTACTTGCATATTGAAAAAATATTTCCTTAGTAAAATAAAACAAGACAAAGGGATCCTTCTACATAGTTAAGAACCACTTGCCTCATTGGAACAGTTTACATGGTGGACGTATCAGGCCATTCTTAGGAGCAGATGCCTCCATGATATTAAATAGCCTGCTATGTAAGGAACTACATGCATAGAATTCCAGGAAGAAAGAGCAATAGGTATCATATGCTGACAGCTCTACACAGTCAGAACAATCACAGTTACGGTCCATGGAAGCAAGATAACAGCAAATAAAGCTGGAAGGCTATTGAACAGAACCTCCCAAGGTAGAAAATGGATCATGAGCTGTACTTAAAATACAAGGAAGACTACTGGAGGAGCTTGAGCAGTCACGTGATCAGATCTATATCCTTCTAGAAGATCATTAAGCTGTTGCTATTTAGAGTGTCAAGGAGGAGAAAACAGGATCCAAAGAGAAGGCCTTGAGTTACCTAGGTGAGAGATGGTAGAGGTTGGATCAAGGCTATCTCAGTAGCGAAGGGACAGGATGTAGAAATCAGGCATGCCTTTTTTGAGGTAGAGAAAATATGACTTGCTAATTAACTAGATGAGGATGAAGGCAAGGAGGTAAAGCAAAGATGACTTCTACATTTTTGGATTGGATAACTGGGTTGAACAATCCAAGGAGGAACAGGTTTGGAGGGGGTGGATTTCCGCCGCTCAGCTTCTGAGACGCCTGTTAAACATGATAATAATAGTCTCTACCTTGTGGGGTTGTTGTGGAGAGAGAATAGGAAACACATGAAAAGAATTCAGGCCAGTATCCAGCAGGAACTAATTGCTCAATAAATACTAACAACAATAGCTGTTGAAGTAAAGGTTCAGGAATTATTAACGTCTGTAATTCTTCAGTTAAGGTGGGCCAGCAAAAGCTCATCAGAAATTAAGAATAAGATACAAGTGTAAGAGGGTGTTACAAGAGAGTCACTGCTGCTCATACCACTTTTGGATTTTATTTTTATTTATTTATTTTTGTCCACTATGGACCAGTAATATAGAACACTTGTCTCCTTCAATCCCTGTGTTGAAACCCTAACTCAAAGTCATTGCATTCAGAGGTATTGGCTCCGAAGGTACTTAGATCATGTGGATGAAGCATCATGCAGGGATACAGTGGTCTTTATAAGTGCCTTATTTACTCCTAGTATGTGAGGGCAAAGCATCCCATATAATAGGACTTGACCCCTCATAAAACACCCAATCTGACTGCATCTAACCTTGGACTCTCTGGCCCTCTCCAGTATTATGACAGTTTCTGTTGTCTGTGGGTCATCCATTCTGTGATATGTTGTTAAAGTGGTCATAATGGACTAAGGTGAGCTTTCATAATCTCCAACAACAATAACAACAAATGAATTACTGTTAAAACAGAGCATGTCAACTACAACTGTAAAGCACTCAGATGCCATGGCAATAGTAAATCGTTACAAAAATTTCTAAATTTCGCTCTCCGTTTCTGTGTTTCTTTCTCATTACAGACCAGCGTAGATCAGCTCCAAGGAGTGCATTTTCAGGGCATTAGCACACAAAGCCATGGGTGTACCTGAAGAAAAGAGACCCTGAGTTCTATTAATGGAAGGGGGTGAAGCAAGGGTACTTACTCAGTGGGCTGGAATACCAACATTATTTGCATACAGGAGCACTCCAGCAGGGGGCCGTCATAGACATCTACAAGCAATCAGTTCTAATTAGGTGTAAGGAAAGAGCCTAATCATTCCTGCGGGGACTCACTCCTCTTCCCACAGATGTGGAATCTAATGCGAAAGACATCCGCTTTTCTCTCTCCCCCTCAGAAACACTTCAGCCTAATCACAGGAGGTACAGTCTAGTGCTTGGAATGCATTAAGCATCCGAGGCTCCTTCATCACCGAGCTGGGCTCACTGTGGAGCAGAAAGATTAGCAATGCCTGTCACCACCAAGTGGTCCTAGAAGGATGCTTTAGGCCCCAGGTTTCTACACCTGGCTAAGAGTTCTTGACTCCTGCCTGGCATTAGGTTTCTCTCACTGAACCCCACCTCCAATGGCCCAGAGGTGCATATACCTAAAGCTAGAGAGAGCCTGGAGGAATTCTTGGGTGTTTCTGGGTAACATCAATAAAGTAAAAGACTCGAACTTATTTCACTTTACACTTTTGAGTCCCCCAGACAAGAAGGCTGAGGCCAGCCCAAGCCTAAGGCGCCTTGCTTGCCTGAAAGACCTGCAAGCCTGCTCCCAGGGTGAACACCACTTGAGCCGTGGGTGAAAGCGAATTAGGAGGGTCCTCCTTCCCGAGTGTGTCCTTTCCAGGAAGGCACCCCGAGCCTCCCCGTTGCTGTCGCCAGAGCTGCCTGGCACCGAGTCACCGTGAGCTCGGTCCCCGGGCGGGCACGCCAGGCAGGGACGCGACGGTGACTCACGCGGCCGCGCGCCCGCGGGAGGGGAGGACGGCTCACCTCCGGCCACGCGGGGCGAGGGGCTGCGCCGGTCGACGAGACGCATGCGCTGCGAGCTGCTCCGCTCCCTCCCCGCCCACCCCAGCCTCCTCCCTCTCGGCTCTCTGCTGGCCTGTCTCCCTCTCTCCGTCGCCGGGTGCTGAAGTTGGGCGGATGGCAGCGAGCCGGCTCCTCTAGAGGACGCAGCAGCCCAGCCTCGCGCACCCTCGGACCGACCGCGGTGCGCTCACCTACACCCCAGGCCACCCGGTAAGGCGCAACCTCTGAATGCCCGAGAGGATAAGAAATGACATAAAAATGTCTGCTTTGCACTGATGGGTGGCTTTGATTTTTTTTTCTTCTTTTCTCATTTTGCCTCCCCCACCCCCTTCCCGCGGCGAGGGGGAGGTGCAGGAACTAGGGGGCGGAGGGGGGGGGGCGTCCGTCGCCAGTGCCCTGTCTGGTGAGACAGTGGGGTGCGCGGGTCTCGGCGGGCAGCACCGCCCCGTGGCTCCGCGAAGTTGAATCCCGCGTGGCCCGCCGCAGGGCTCGGTCCACTCGGTCCCCAGGCTCCGCAGAGGGGCTGGACCGCTGTCCTGCCTGGGCTCGGTTTCGGGTGTCCGCGCTCCCGCTGGGAGAGAGCTCAACACCTTCGGGGACCCGGAGGTGAGAGGACGCTGCGGTGGCTGGAGGGGGAGCGCGCATGGGTTCGGGGTCCCCAGGCTTTTCGTGGCTGTTTGGTCTCAGCCGCGGACCACCTCCGGTGGTCTCATTTCTCCCTTTATCTTTTGGTGCCTTTAGGGAAAATAACCGATTCAGGTGCGGATGATGGTTTTACAGATACCTTGAGCAGCTGCTGTGCGTGTGTGCGTATGTGTGCGTGTGCGTGTGTGTGTGCGTGTTAGTGTGTGTGTGTTTGTGTGTGTGCGTGTGTGTGCGCGTGTGTGTTTGTGTGTGTGCGTGTGTGTGTGCGTGTGTGTGTTTGTGTGTGTGTGTGTGTATTTGTGTGTGTGTGTGTGTGTGTGTGTGTGTGTGTGTGTGTGTGTGCACAGAAGGTGAGAGTCTCTTTTGTTCCTCCCCCAGCCGTTAGTCCAGAGAAAGCGAGTTCTGGTGTGCATGGCACCGAGTCGGTTTTACGGCAACCGAGGGGGTGAGGACCAGGAACGCCCACCAGCCCCCAGCCGCTGCCCCGCTGGGTGCATCACAGACTTCCTTGCGGTGGGAGCTGGTTCTCCTGATTACGGATGGATCACAGCTTCTAGCTACTTCCTCGCTAGCCTCCCTCCGCCTCCTCCTCCTCTCTTTTCTCCCGCTGCCGCAGAGGCTGGGCGCAGACACTTTCCTGTTGTCTCCTCTTCTCCCTACCTCTGTGCCTCGGTGAAAAATGTCGGAGGACCTGAGGATGGCGGAAGGACAGAGCATCGGGTGGAGACCTGCTCCTGGCTAGCAGGAGGCAGCTTGCTGCGCATCCCACTCACTCAGTCTGAGGGCTCCTAGAGACTGAGCAGGGGTCACCTGGTCTAAAAGGTACCGGTTCGAGACCAGCTGTGCGTCTGCTTCCTCCACTGAGAGCTGGGGATGCAGGCTCACTTGTGAGATTCTGATTGCCCAGGAACCCTGCCCTGGCTTGGAACACAGTGTTTCCAACATTCCCAGCTCCCTATTGACCCTTCAGTAAATTCATCCTTCTGTGTCTTGTCTGGTGAACTTTGCAAGCTTTTAGCTGTTCCCTTTCAGTCTCCTTAAAGCGGGGGGGGGGGGATTGTAGGGGGATTATAGCATAGTGGGATTCTATCCATCAGGGGTTGGCTATCACAGATAAAGAGAAACCTTAGTTTGGTTCCCATCTGCATTTCCGGCTCTCAGGCACACTGGTTTTCAGGGTGGTGAACCTTTATGAAAACCATTTAACTGGCAAAGCAAGAAATAATTTTTTTTTTGCTCTCATAATGAAGATGATGTTTTCCTCATAGGTTCTGAGCTGCTAGACGCTGTGTGTATTAAAGACTTCGCAAACTGTGAAGTTCTTTAAGTTCTTTGTATGCATTTCCGAAATCTGTTGTAGTAACAGTAGCAGTTATGCATGGGACATGCATTGCAACACTGATAAACCAATCAAGGATAATCCATACTCATCAAGTCACATGACAAAGAAGTTTGACCTTCTGTTAAGTTACTATTATGAAGCACCTTCTTCTGTTAGCATGAACCAAAACTGTAATTAGCCCACTCATGGCAGCATAGATTTATTTACTAATTTTTAATCTTAAGGACTGTATTCAGGACCTGTGGATGAGGTTTATTTACAGCTTGGGGAGCTAAGAAAACAAATGTTTATTATTACAGAAAGAGAGATATTTTGTTAAATGAGATGCCTGTCCTTGGGGATAACACCTGAACCCAGATCCCCGGTAGCCATTTTCCCTTTTGAAATTGTCTCCAAAAGATAAAGAAAGCCACTCACTTTAACACAGGCAATGTAAGGTGTTCATTTTGCCCATTTCCATTATTTTTTGCTGTGTTGCCTCAGCTGCTCCTTGGGTTAGTCCCTACTTTGGGCCCTGTAGGCAAATAAAAAGCTTTCCCTTCTCAATTTTGGAGCCTGTGGTGTCAATGGTCTAAATCTGTCATCATTCCTAAAATTTTCTTAATCTTTTTCATAATAAATAAGTCTCATTAGCATACCCTGGTGTTAGACAGTTTGAAAGCAAAAAGCCACATTCTTATTTGGCTTTATTAAACAGCTAAATAGAAATGATCTCTGTCCTAACTGATGAGCATTCTGCTGACTCACAGACACAGGGTAAGGAAGAACTTAGGTGTGAATGTTCTGCTGGGAAGATAGGGGATCTTGCATTAGAAGTCCATTTGCTGAAATGCATGGGCTTTCCTGGAGTCATAGACACTAGCAGTGAAGCATGGAGCTGAAAGGGATGGGAATCCAGTCTACAGCATTTCTGCAGGGGATTTGGATACCAGGTTCTGTCTACAGAACAACGAAGATACTTCACTTTCCAGAAGAGAAAATGTGAGAATCAGTAAATTTATCTTCTGATTACTAAAGACCATACTATGGGGTTTTATGGAGTGCTTAAAACAAATACATCATTACCTCTAAGTAGACAGTGGGATGCTTGATGTTAGATTGATGGAGATACACTGTCCATCTTTCCTGTCTCCCCTCACCTCAATTTACCCTCTAAAGACATTTTAGTAACTTAAAAATAAATCCACCTAGATTATTTTACTTGCTGCTGCGCCAGCTCCTAGCACAGCAACTAAGAAGAGGAAGTATTAAATCTTTCCAAAATAAGTTAACTTTGCAAAATTGCCACGGCTCAGAAAAGTCTTCCGACCGGCTTAGCTGAAACTGTGGGCTCCAGGTTCAGTGAGAGACCTTGTTTCCAAAACCACGGTGGCATGATGGGGAGATGGCTTAAGTGATAAGAACGCTGACTTTGAAAACATGAAGACCTGAATTCAGATCCCCATCATCCACATCTAAACAAGGCATGTTCTGAATGCCTATAACCTCAACACTGGGTTTCAGGAAGACAGGCAGGAGGATCCCAGAACTTGTTGTCAGTCAACCTGGCAGGAACTGCTAATGTCAGATTTAGTGAGAGACAGTCTCTCAAGGTGGAGAAAAGAAGTCTTCCTGTGTGTGTGTGTGTGTGTGTGTGTGCGCGCGCGCGCGCGCGCGCGCGCGCGCATGCACACAGTCATGTTCTTTACTAAGTACCCTCCCTGAAATTATGTCCAGGGTCCCACATCTTGGAGGCAGCAAGCTTTAGAATTGTGAACACATTCTCCTGATATAACATTTATAGTATTGATTTGCTTCTGGTGATAAAACCATATTTGCTTATTTTAGATCTCCTGGAAGACAGGAACTGATCAGAAATGAGGACACATGGATATAATAAACACAAATTTTCAATCAAGACATCTTTGGTTTATGTCCTGATTCCTCCATTTAGTGACTTGGTTATTCGTCTACCCCGAGCCTCAGTTTCCTCCTGTGCAGTGAGTGATCCTGGGCAAGTTTAAAGCACAGACAGAATGCACAGACAGGAGATGTACTTGACCACCAATTCATCTTATGCATAGGCAAGCCATCATTTGAATAATCGACTTGTATTGAACAGCAATATTCTTGCTCTTTAAAAAAATCCTCTTACCTTGTTACTGTTTCTAAATTTTAGTGTTGTATAGTGACTGCAAAATAACTCACTTTAGGCATGGCTTAATTTGTTGGACATTCTTTTTATTTGTGAGCCTTTATGTTCTTTCTAGTATTTTCCTGTTTTAACTCGTGTATGCCTTTACTCTCTTATTTTTTATGCATACCTGTAATGTACCTGTTTCCCTTAGGTTTGATAGGTACACTATCTAATTCTTACCAACATGTTTCTTTAAAAAAAAAACATTGCTAAATTGGTAGATAAAATTAATATTTTTCAATTTTTCACATTTTACTAAGAAAGAAAATTACCTTGTGACATGCTTGTGACCATTTTCTTTCTTCAAAGGTGACTTGTTTGTGTCACTTACCTGCTTGCATATATAACACTATTTAAACATCATTTTTTTCCTGGAGTGATAATAGTGATGTCTTTTAAAAAGGAAACACAAACAAGGAAAGGCCATGCTCAGTGGCCAAGAGTGTGTGTGGCAAATATTAGAGAAATCACAATGGCTAGCCCTGAAGGATTGGAGACGGATCCGCTGGGAAGTCAGGAAAGCACAGCACTAGGAGCTCATGCCCTGGTGTCTGGGCTTTCATTCCAGCCTGCCCAGTGCCTTTAGAATCTGAGCACCCAGTCACTGAATTGTTTTCAACCATACACTTTTGTATGGATGGTTCAATATAAAGAGTTCCCTGGCTGTTGCAGATTCTTTCTATCAGTTGCTGATGTCATAAAGAGAACATCCCAGTTTCAACAGATTAAAAAGAAGATGGGCATGATAGAGATCTCATGAGGGGATTCGGTGAAATTTTCGTCAAGATAAAATAATTAAACTGAGTTATAACATCATGTCAGGCTAGTATCATATCCTATCCTTAAATGTCAGCTGCATGTAAAATTTAAATATTTAAAGGCAGATGTCTAATTTATTGCACTAATGATTTTTATGTCCAGAGTGTGTATATTAATTATGGTTTTTGTTACTGTAAGCAAACACCATGACCAAAATCAACTCAAGGAAGAGTGTATTTAGCTTATATTTCCAGGAGACTAAATGTCTGAAATGGCAGGGAAGGCGTG